ATTGTACGCCAAAATATTTTGGCATTGTGATTGTTAAAAGACAACAGTAATGCAAGAAACAGATCTTGCATATAATTTTGACCATAACCATGATGGTATAACTTTCTCTTTAAAAGAGATATTCACCATATGGATGTTGATGAATATGTGGTAGTACCAAATTAATTGAGAGCTCTGGAAGAGCCAATTATTACTATTTTGGAGAAACACAATTGATTACCAATAAGGTATTGTGTTGTAGTAAGTCTCAAAGAAACTTATTCAGTTTCCAAAGTATACGCGAAAGCGGTTGATCATATTGAGACTATAAATAAAGGAAAGATTTAATATTTTCTATTACTACAACTTGTAGCTGGGTAATATGTATGTGAAAAGCTACCCGCTTTATTCTCCAGTTTGTACTACACAAATAAAAGAATACCACAATAAAGTGGATATTTATTGATATAAAAACCCATATCATAATAAACTTGGAGTTTATTGATAATTGCACACGTCATGGCGTAAATCTGAAGTTTATCAATATTGATAATTTATTCAGTTGGCATAATTGGTTTACCCATATTAATTTAAGTATGATGTGCAAAAAATAAAAGAGAATTCACATGGGTAAACATTAAAGAACGAGAAAGTTCTTTACGAATTCTTTTATGTTGCATGTTCTCATTAATTAACATACCAACTAAAATTGGGATTGAATCCCATGAATAGTGGAAATATCAAAGGTGAATATGGGCCCATTCACCTGCCATGTATACCACATAAGATGCATCTGTGAGATGGTTGCATGTGCGATTATTATTAACCCGCAACATGGTGTTTGCGAGGTAACTTGCTCAATAATTTGATTTAGAGCATAATTTCCAGATTTTCTATTCAAGAAGTTCATCTTGATAAGTTGGTTTACATCACAGTTGGTTTAGCAAAATAATTTATTGAGTGCCTCCACTTAATAGCTAAACTATTGCTTATGAGAACAAAGTTATCTATATCAGTTTGATATACGTTATATACGAAAGTATATTATTTTCTCCCCTTACAAGTGGTTCATGGTCAGGAACCAAATTATTTCATCTTATTATTATTGATGTGCGGTGTATATTTTGATTAACACCATAAAGCACAAAGATGAGTTCTCAATGTTGAGGAAACAAGTTAGTTTTTCTAACATGAGGGGGAGACATGATAAACAGTTGAGAAAAAGTTACGTGGAATGAATTATCATTTGTTCATATAGATCATCGAATAAGATAATATGAATTTGAAGTTCATAAAAAGGATAATTCATGTGCAATTTATTGCAAACCATGCCAGTGCATTTGCTGACCCAAAGAAAGTAACTATATTCTCATTGCAAATGCTCATATTAAGTCTTAGAAGGACAAAGTCTATGGTACGCTTATAGCATACAGACAAATCGGTTTCAAATAAAACTTCTTGATAACGAAGATGAGCAAATGATCAAAATGATCATAATAAAGGAGGCAAGTGATCTAGAAGATCACATGACATAACACTTCATAAAAACTCATGAAAGATTCAGGTACCTGAATATATGAATGGAGAGATCTCTATGTTATGTCTTTATGAAAAAATATTGAAACTGATATAAAATGTTTGTCGACGACATCTATGATAGCGCTAAATATATATATGAGGATCTTAAGTCTGAAGAAACAATTCGAATAGAATTGGTTTCATATGAAAGACATATAGTTCAAACACTTGAAAGTATAAAGTCAATGGTATGTGCAATCAGTTTTCGATATCTTATATGTCTAGCATGACATGAAAACTTGATATGCTTCTAAAGTCTATTATATGGCTTATATGACTTAACAATCCCTGAAGGATTTAAATTGCTTAAAGCATATAAAATTCATGGTCATGAAGTACTACATCCTCAGTGCAATTTGTGCACAAATGTATCTTGTTATAATTATATGCATGATAATATGATAGCAAGAGTTTTCACCTCTATGTGAAGATATTGAACTGACGATTCCAACAAGATCATATGAAGACAATTCATCTCTATCAAGGATGATGATTTCAAGGTGAAACAAATTCGTTGAAGTTAATATGGCTGATATTGTTTATCAAATATCTACCAACGATCTTTTGAAGGTGGTGCACAAGATTGGAATGCAAATGCTTAAGGATGTGAATTGATGCTCTAATCAGGGGGAGTTAATACGCGTTGTACTCTTTTTCCCTTACAAGGTTTTGTCCCACTGGGTTTTCCTTGCAAGGTTTTTAACGAGGCAACCAAAAGGCGTATTGTTAGATAAATGTACTCTTTTTCCTTTACTAGAATTTTTTTCCCACTGAGTTTTATTTTAGTTAAGGTTTTAACGAGGCACATTATCTGTTGAATAGACATTCAAGGGGGAGTGCTATAAATAGAGTTCTATTTATGGTGAATGTCTATATTTAGAGAGATTCTAGGGTTCATTGCTTGGTGACTAAGTCACCCTCTCCCTATAAATAGAGGGTTCTATTCTATTGTAATTCATCTCAAATCAATATAAATTCTCTCCCTCTACTTTTCTCTGCACTACTCTTCTTCTTCTTTTATTATTTTATAATACATTTGGGTTTAACCTATGTCCCTTCTTAACATTTAATCAGGATCCTCAGTACCATTTTGTGTGATACTATTCGATTACAAATTGAATTTAAAATATTTGTTTGACTTGTAAATTAGTATATTATTTGGTTGTTAAAACATATATAATACTAAACAATTTTGTATTCTAAAACCTGTGTAAGTAGTATAAGATACTATGAATAAAGTGGTTTCACAACAATTATTGACATCACAAAGTAATTTAAATTGGAACAAAGACATTACAAATAACCTATGACAACTAATGCAACAGACAGATTCTGCTAATATTCCAAAGTTTTAGTACCAAATGTTGTTATATTCAGTGTATTTAGCTTAACAATATTCCACTTCTCCTACTACTGAGATCCTATAATTTTCTCTCAAAGACTATGGGAGAACTTCTGCATCGAGAAAATTTACTCACATCTGATGTTTACGCCAATCATATGAATACATAAATCCGTCTTCACATACCTTGTTATCATTAAACTATAGTTAACTAATGCACATTTTCACCTCAATAACCATGGTCAATTAAGGCAATTTGATGTAAATATTGGGTGCGGAAAACTTTTTACCCCACTATATTAGCTTGATCCTGCAAAATGAGGGCCACAGTACAGACAGAAATACATAACAGTCCAGTGAAGTGAAAATAGCTTAATGCATTCAGTTGGAAGAACTATAGTACAATCAAACTTCTCTATAACAATCGATATTTTTTGGATGCTATATTAAAGTGTTGTTAAGAGGATATATATATTATAACTTAACATAAAAATCGGTTCCGAGAAAAACTCGGCTTTTATAGTGAATGACTATTATACAGTCAAACCTCTCTATAACAACCTCGTTTGATGCGATATTTTTTGGATGTTATAGTGAAGTGATGTTATAGAGAATATATTATATAACACAACATAAAAGTCGGTTCCGAAAAACACTTGGCTTTTATAGTGATGATTGTTATATAGAGGTGTTGTTATAAAGAGGTTTGATTGTATAGAGATGTTATTATAGAGAGGTCTGATTGTATAACACAACATAAAAATCTGTTTCGAGAAAAACTTGACTTTTATAGTGAATGACTATTATATAAAGATGTCGTTATAGAGACGTCTGAATGTAAAATCCTATAACATAACGTAAACAAAATTCTTTCCTCTTTTCTTTTCTCAAAATCAACTATGCGTCAGTCCCAAACAAGTTGGGATCATCTATATTAATCCTCACTAATTGTTTTTCTCCATTTAAACTCATCTCAGGAATGTATAATATTCTCAAAAAAAAAAAAACAGAACAAAAATGTTAAAAGTCCTTTTCCTTCACATCTTTGGCTCTCAAAAACTAAAAGGTTATATACAACAAAAGGCTATATATCATCAATATGTAAAGAAAACATCCAATGCTAAATTTCCAGCTAGATCAAAATAAGAACTGTAGACTGCTTAGTTGCTTGGTAGAAATTTACAACATATTTCCTAGTTTCCAAAGATTCAGTCTAACATGTCCCATCTTTTTCTCTCATTTCAGGTAGTATATATGGTTAAAGCTGTTGTCATTCATTCTCTTATTCAAGTAACAAGCTGAGGAGAAGCAGCTGGCCTCGGGTACGATAAAGTTTTTCTTCTTGAAGCTTCATCGGTACAGGTTCTACGATGTTTCCTTTGCGTTTGATCACGTTTGAGAGTTCCTGATTCATTTGAGTTCTGGAGTTGCTCTAGTGCTTTTACGACCTCGTGCATTTTGGGCCTGAATTTGGGTTCTAATGCCAGGCATTTGACTGCAAGGAGTGCTGCCTTCAGTGCTCCTTCCACTGAGTACTGACCTTCTATACGTGGATCCATAATACGAAGGACTTTTCGTTTACTGGAAAGAAAAGGCTTAGCCCATTCAATTAGATTCTGTTCCCCGTGAGGGCGGTTTTTGTCCACCACTCGACGGCCTGTCAGCATTTCTAGAAGAACAACCCCGAAACTGTAGATGTCACTTCTCGCAGTCAGGTGGCCTACACAGGTGAAAGTGACAAATCACAAAGTGAAGAAATTTTTTTACTCTTAAGAGAAGCATTACATATGTATATATATGAGTGTGTGTGTGTGTGCGTGTGTCAAAGCAGAAGCGAACAAATGTGGGTGAACAGGGCCATCTCTGGACGGACAGTTTTAAGGAGCATAAACTGAATACGTGTAAACTAAATCAAAGAGAGGACGTATTACCTGTGGCCATATACTCGGGAGCTGCATAACCATAGGTGCCCATTACTCTAGTAGATACATAGCTTTTACCGTCCACTGGCCCATCCTTTGCCAATCCAAAATCAGAAAGCTTCGCATTGTAATTCTGTCAGTTCGTGGCATGGAGAGATTGTAAGAGGACTACATAAACATTCTTAAACTTTTAAAAGACTAACTTTATAAGTTGTTTCACATACAGAATCAAGTAAAATGTTAGATGACTTGAAATCGCGATATATAACTTTAGCTTCCGGACTGTGGAGATAAGCCAGTCCCTTTGCTGCCTCAAGTGCAACCTTCATCCGAAGATTCCATGATAGTGGTTGGAAATAAGTACTCCCTGTTCAACATATATCAAAGGTTGAGCAGTGACATTATATTATTGGTTGTCGCTAAATACAAAATGATGGTTTTAGACGAGCTATACTCACTTCTGAACAGATGATTTTCCAAACTTCCTCTAGGCATGAACTCATATACCAAAAGCCTGTGTTCATCTTCTAAGCAATATCCAATCAACTTCACGAGATTAGGATGAGAAAGCGAACCAAGGTAATTGATTTCTGCCTGTAGTTGAAGTTCGCCAAAATACCAATTAATCAACTTATCAAGATCAAGACTCACAGTTAACATGATCAGCTAACTACATTATAGTAAAATATTCTATCTTTAACAATTCCGATACATCCTTAATATAAATAAATTGATCAACAAAGTTTGTTTACCAGCCATTCTTTGTGACCTTGAAAGCCCTCTTGGTTTAATCTCTTAACAGCTATAACCAAACCAGTTCCGGGCCGTGCAGATTTAAATGTATGTTCATCGATCCAACCCTTAAAGACACAACCAAAACCGCCTTCTCCCAACACACTATCCGGACGGAAGTTCCTCGTAGCTACTCGGAGTTCATTGAAACTAAAGCTTTTCAGATTTGAGGATTCCAGGATCTCATTCTGGCTTCGAGGAGTCAACGGAGCCGAATATGAAAGCCTACTACTCAAGTCTCTTCCATCACTTGCTCCTGCAAAAGAAACATGGTTACTTATCTCTAGTAATATCATGTCATAGTCACAAAGGCGGATGTAGCATGTTTGTTACGGGTTCAACCGAAACCAGCATTTTTTACGCAAAGAGTGTGTGTGTGTGTTCAATGGTAAGATTTTAAAGGTCGAATCCATCAAGTTTAAATCCTGGATCCGCCTCTGCTCATGGATGGAGTTAAATAAACTTTAGAAATTTTCCATCGACCTTCATTTCCACTGAGCTATAGAATCTTGAACATAGTAATTGTCTACAAAAGGTTGAACTATGATAGCAGCCTAAGAAAATTGTTTTACTATTCTCATAACAGTTTGGAGAAATATTTTAGTACATACAGATACAACAGATCCCATATATAAGCCAGAAATAGTCTTATAAACCTAGTACACAATTGTTTTAATTGATCCTATAAAAACTAGAGACCATGATTTTAAATCAAAATTGAAAAAATATCCAAGTTGAATTATGACAGTTGGAACAAATATCTTAGTACAAAAAAATTGCCTCTATACTAATCCACAGATCTCAGATATAACAAAGAAATAGTTCCATAAACCATATACAAATTTCTTCCAATTGAACCTATAAAACAACACACCATGGTTTTGAATCAAAATGGCTAAACAACAACACCAACAAAAACAACAAACTCAGTGTAATCCCACAAGTGGGATCTGGGGAGTTCAGTGTGTACGCAGACCTTGCGAGGGTAAAGAGACTGTTTCGGGCAGACCCTCGGCTCGGCACAGGAAAGATTTGAATTAGAATATCCAAGTTGATTTATAGTTAGATAACTTTATAACAAAACCATAATTTTCCATAATTAGTAAAAAATGAAACTACCTTTTACCAGTTTCATTAGAAAATCCAAGTTCATTTTATAGCTAGATAACTTCATAACAAAAACCAAAATTTTCCACAAATAGCAAAACCAGAAAAAATCTAACTTTACCAGTTTCGTCAAGTGTGTGAACATGTCTCAGCTAATTTAACATATTTTTTATGTTAGTTTTTAAGTGGGATAAGATACAATAACTAGATAAACATAAATGAATTATATTTACCAGCATGAAGAGGAGACTCAGCTTTAATTCGAACACTGATACAAGAACCCATAAATTTGATAAACCAAAGCTTCAATCTTTCTTCTTCTTTTTCAAGAAACTAAAAGGCAGAGTGTAGACTGTAGGATTGATTACATAAACTTAAGAAAGGAAAATCAAGAAAAGCCAAAAGAGACCAAAACAAAGAAGTGTGAACAAAAAGAAAAAGAAAATGTGTAAGTATATGTTAGAAAAACAAAGGCACTTTGTTGGGTTGGTTTCACGAGAATCTCTTCTAAAAATTTTGGCAAAGGGCCAAATCTACAAAAGGTTACTTTGACCTTTCTTCTTTGTTTTAGTCAGTTTTTTAGTCTTTTCTGCAACTTGCTTTTTTTTTTTCTTTTTCCGCATACACATATATTTTATATTATCTAAATATTCATACATAAAATATACTCAACTTAATTGCTATTCAACTGCTAACAGTTGGCTTTTTGTACTCTTTGGATTAATATAATCTTTAATGGTATCATTAAATTATAACAAACTTTACTGTGCTCACATACACGTAATCTGACTCTATTTTATTCTTACTTCATTTCCAAGAGAATAAATTTTTTTAATCTAAAAATAAATTAAGTTTAAACTTTTATTTATAGATACATAAATATATTGCATACTTAATACTCTAAGGATTGTTGATTAAATTATCCTAGAATTATAATACTGGATTATAATCCCTAGACTAAGTTTGAGGGGATAAAATGGGATATTCATGATTAAGTTTGGGACTAAGTTTATAATATGTTTTATTGACTGTAAAACATACCGAACTTAGGACCACATTTTATCCATCTTAGCCCGATACCGAACGACTCCTCAATTTTAAAAGACGTTAACTTCTTAACATCTGTGCTAATTAAACAAAAAAGGATGTTCTCGGTGCGCAAAGCATCTACATCCATGCAGGGTTCGAGGAAAGATCGTACTCCTAGGATGTAATTTATCCTAGTGCAAGCATTATCGACTACTTTCATGGCTCGAACTTATGACCTATAGATCACACAAGAAGAACTTTACTGTTGCTCTCTAAGGCTACCCTTCCTGTGCCAATTAATAGATTCACATAAATTAAAATAAAAAAATATATATAAAAATAATACATAGCAGACAAATAGTAAATGGAGGGTATGACCAGCTTAGCTTCTAGGGCATTAAAGCTTATCTTTTGGCTGCTGGCACTCATGTGCCCTGGGCAGAAGAAGACAAAGAGTGAATTTGATACAGCCATTTTCAACCATTGGATTCATCAAATCTAGAACAGTCAAAATAAGATTGCGGTGATGGATAAGGAAAATTCAATTTCTATTTTCTAGAAATGGCAAAGGTTATGTTTATTTTTTTCTTTTAGATTTAATTATTTGATTTCTGAAATTCATTAATTCGATTAATTTAAATGGATCTACTCGAGAGGTAAAGCAGTAGAAATGACACCAAACAGCCATTTTAGAGGGACTTATATTTAGATATCCGTTATTAGGTTCTGAATTTCGATTTTTTAGAATGTAGAATCTTGATATTAAGATTTTTAATTTAAATTTTCGGAATAAAATAAGTACTGACTAGTCTTTAAATAACAACTTTAAAAATAGCTATTAGTGTACTTTTCCCGGTGAAGCATTTTATATTAAAAGATTATCTATTTAAAGTTTGAAATGAGACCTTTAATTGAAAATGAAGGGCTATAACCATTCTATCATACTAATATCCATAGGGGAAAAGTCAAAAAAAAAAGTGTCCATATACTATTTGAAATTAAGTCCACCAATTTTGTTATAACCCTAAGGTTCGAGTCAATTTGTGCACATCCCAATTTGTTTCGTGAAGTATTTACTATCTCACATAAGCAACCGGTAACTTTGACAAGAAAGGCTTGGACGGATAAAAAGTATTCACCTAGTGTTTCCTTCTTGGGATTTGAAACTTAGGACCCATTTGGCCATAAATTTTGCCAAAATAAACTTGGGTTTTATTTGGCAAACACATGTGTTGGCCATAAATTTTGCCTATATTTTGGCAAAATCCCAAAACCAGCTCAATAGGTGGTTTTTTATCAAATCCCTAATAATACACATGTTTTTCCAAAATAAATTTGGGAAATATATTTTGAAAACGTTTGTCTAAACACATTTTATCTTCAAACTAAATTTCACTCAAATCAGATTTTTCAAAATAATTTTGGAGATCTATGACCAAACGCTAACTTAGTGTTTTCCTCTGGGGATTTGAAACTTAGCTTTAATAATTTTTAATTCACTTTATTAACCACTAGATCACACTCTTAATCCTTAGGTGCACTTTTGGTTCACCATTACCCTTGTTGTTAGGAAAAATATTGCTTTTGCCCTTTGAGACCCCCCCCCCCCCCCCCCCAATCCCATGAAGCTCCAACCCGAATGTAATTTTAAATTACAACAACAACAACGACAATAACAATTCAGTATAATCGCACAAGTGGGGTCTCGAATATAATTTTAAACTAAAGTAAAAAAATTAAGGGGTAAGTTTATTTTATTTTTTCGAAGAATTTGGATTAACAGAGCCCGTTCATTTGCCCCTGAAATTTCTATAAATGACAAGAGCAAATACGAGAATATTTGCTAGCAGCAAAATTATGAATAAATCATAAGGGCTCGTTTGGTACGAGGGATAAGGGATAATTAGTCGGGATTAAATTTGAGACGAGTTCATTTCATTTTTGGTTGGAATAAAATTGTGGGATAATTAATTCAGAATTAGTTATCCCAGGATTGTAGTATTTTTTTTCTTATAAAAGGGTAGGATAACTAATCCCGAAGTAATTAATCACACGATAACTTGTTTTCCAACCAAACAACTCTAAAGTATATTGTGTAAAATTAAGCAATTTTTGACGGTGCAAAGACAAATATGAAATATTTTCTAATACATTATATTAATGTTAATTAATGTTGGGTGTGTAATTAGCTGTTTAAAGTCAATTTGTTGCAACTAAGGTGGCACCAACTGTATTTTCATTCCAATGTGGAAACTGTGAAGCTTTAGTTAGCTTTCATAAATGGACAAAAGATAATTGACTTGTGGTGTGGGTCGTCTCTTGCCTCATAAAGAAGAGAGGAGGAGCAGACAACGCATTTTTACTTACGTAATACTTGACATACTGATGCCGTAATACATGACATAAATAATTTCAGTCTATTGGCAATTGATAGATGACATTAAATAAGTTAAATTTATACAAAGTACCCCGCCAACTCTATGTGAAAAATCGAAATAGCACGGCCTAATCAGTTTTTAAATTGCTAATCGAGAAATAATTAACGTTTGTAAAGTCATTAAAAAATACTCATTATTTTGCTAAAATACGAAAAGTTCCAGCATAATATGTTGGATTATGGAGCTCTTGCGTATAAATTTCCAGCATATTATGTTTAATAAACTCCAGCACAGAAAATTCTGGTATAATATGTTGTATTATGGAGCTCCTCCATTTAAGCTTCCCGCATATTTGCTTGGATTGAAAAAAGCAGGTGTCATGCAGAAGCTAGTAAAGCAAACCTTGAACGATGATAAGTCCGACAACAAAAGAGAAATATACCAAAAGAGACACAAACATTTAACGTGGTTTGGTCAACTGACCTACGTCCACGAATGGAGATGAGCAATCCACTATATAAAAAGAGAGTACAAGATATCGAGAGAACAACCTCACAAAGGGGCAAACACAAGTGACACACTAACACGTGTCCCGTAAATTTCTTCCCCTAAACACGACTCTCAAACCCTATATGGCAACATTGTGGATGCTACTGAATGAGAAGGAAGGATCCTTAATTTATAAAAATTCAAACCTTTTCCTACAAGAAAAAGGACTAGCTAAATATGGGAGATTTATAATTTCCTTTTAAGAATAGGAAAACTCAATTATGGTAAACATGTTGTCCTTTCCTTCATGAGATAGGAAAACCAAATATGGTAAGAAAATCAGGTTAAACAACTAACAATATTATGTTGGAACTCCAACACAGTATGAAATTCCAAGGTATTATACTGGAATCTTATATGTAAAAAATTCGAACTCCAACATATTGTGCTGGAATTTTTCAGGATTTTTAAGGGTATTTTTGTTCAGATTTTATCTTTACATGAAAAAGTAACTAAATTCGATTACTTTTTAAACTGTGACTGTTTTTCAATTACCAGTTGTAAATCTGGTTATTTCGGCGTGCTCTATGGTAGAGAATATAGGCGCACGCAATTACGCACATATAAGCAACTTATCGAGCTGATCCAAAATTTAAATTTGTGTAACAAATTCTCAATAAATATAGAGAGAGAGAGAGAATTCGAGCTCTCAATTAATTTCATATGAGTTCATATATTTTCTTCTACATTTGCCCCTCACAATATTTTACCTTTTTGGCAATTTTATTTCAGTGAACGCAACCACTACAATGCTCCATAATAGAGAATATGTAAACGCTATTGTGTTAAAACACAAAATCAGAAAGACTGTTAGAAGAAAAAAAACTGGGAAAACAGTAAAGTATAAAAGATATTCCGAGTCCACAATTTGCTTGTGCGTCCTTAAGAAATTTTAACCCCCTCACACGTTGCCAAGGTAATGGATTAAATCCTCCCAGGATGAAACGGAATAAACCTTCCTGCAACAGTGGCAATACAAACTGCAGGATACCAACGAACTCAAAGAACGGAGCAAAATCACACTTACGAAATTTAGAAGAGATTCTGCGAAATAGAATGCAGGATTTTCAGAAGGAAGGAAGTTCTGTAATTTTTCAGTGTATCGAAAATGCAGCCATGCCTCAGAATTTATAGGCAATTATCGGAAGAGGTGTGATGTCTGTTCAGGAAAAGTGTCTGTTCAGAAGGGAAAAATTAACGTTCAACGTTTTTGGATTTCAGATTTCAGTTAATTTCGTTAATTAACTGACTGACTTTTAATTAATTATTAAATAATTAATTAAATAAATTTTGTCCAAAAAATAATCTTATCGATCATTTGACAAATCCAAATCCAAACCCAAACCCAAACCCAAACCCAAAGCCGAGCCGAGCGAGCGACGACGACGGCGCGAGGATTCATTCTCTTCAACTCCTTTTAAGAGCTCTAAGAAGTGATCCTATATATATACACACAAATCTAGTTGTCCCTCACCAATGAGGGACAAAGTTCAAGACAAAAGCTCACTTCATTCAAATTTTCATTTCCCTCCATTTTATTTCCCACCAATTCCAATTCACACTCTTAGACTTTTAAAGCCCAATGCTTAAAGTCTTTAAAGTCCAATGCTTAAAGTCCAACAAACTTGGTCTAGGTGGAGCAAAGATAGTCGAAACTCCTTTGGAGTGTAATCAAAAGCTCACTCCAGTTGAAACATTTAACAAAAATGCAGGCTTTGAAGATCCTACATTGAAGGATCCTGGTGATTATCAAAGGTCGATAGGAAGACTATTATATTTAACCATGACCAGACTAGATGTATCTTTTGGAGTGCAAATTCTAAGTCAGTATATGCATGCTCCAAAAATAATCACACATGGAGGGTGCCCTGAGAATTGTCAGGTATCTAAAGGCATCCCCATGATTAGGACTCCTAATGCCAGCAACAGAAACCAAGCAAATATAGGCATTCTGTGATTCAGATATGGGCTTTTGCCTGCAAACGAGGAGATCTGTCACAGGGTACCTTGTGAAGTTTGGAGGAACTTTAGTATCATGGAAGTCAAAAAAGCAAGAAACTGTAGTTAGAAGTTCAGTAGAAGCTGAATTCAGAAGCATGGCATCTTGTGTAGCTGAGATCACTTGGCTGATATGTTTGTTTAATGAACTGGGGATTAAACTTTACCAACCTATTGATCTGTTTTGTGACAGTAAGGCTGCTCTTCAGATTGCAGCAAATCTTATATTCCATGAAAGAACCAAACACATAAATATAGACTATCACTTTGTAAGAGAAAAATTGAGTCAAGGAATGATCGTAACTCATCACTTGTCAACAAAAGATCAACTGGCAGATTTGTTGACAAAGAGCACTGGCAAAGCACAATATGAGTTCCTATTGAATCAGCTTGGGGTCGAGAATATTTTCAAAGCATCAGCTTGAGGGGGAGTGTTGAGAGTATAGCAAGCTGATGTGACATTAGTTGGTTAGTGAGTTAGTTAAGCAAGTGGTTAGCAAGTGAGTTACCAGAGTCCTTTCCAGAAATGTCCACATAAGGTTGCCAGCAGAACCTTCTAGCTTTTCCAGCACCTTCCACAACATTTAATCAACACAAAAACTATATATATACAATCAAACCCTCTACAATCCTCAGCCTCACTAAATAGAAAAAAAATTCAGTACTTCATTCACAACCAAAAACTAACACAAAAAAACACAGTTCATTCATTAGCAGCAAAATGAAGCCAGTGGTGCAGGAAAACAAGGAGAAAGTTGACACGAAAAACGTCGACAAAATTAAGTATATAGAAAGAAAGTTAACAGAAAAAGGGGTGCAGAGATTGGAAAGACATCCAGCAGATGGGCTACCATTGAAACATGATCCAAAAAAAGGCCATGGCGGAAAGTTTACATGGGAAGGACCTGATAAGGAAGCCGTGAATGAATTAGAGCCGGCGCCGCCGGCATTGGACGAGAAGGATCCGAACTATGTGGATGAAGAAGCAGAGGAAAAGTTGATGAAAGAGGAGGAAATTGGAGGAGTTGTGGTGGGTGAAGTTGAAGTGGCAAAAGTGGCTGAAGAAGGTGTTGCTAGAGTTGAAATTGATCCTAATTTGAAGGTTAATTAGATTTGTTGATTAGATTGTTGACTTGTGTAATTGGGTTTTGAACTGTTGTTGTGACATGTAATGTAATAATAAGTAGTACAGTTTTCTTTGCTAATTTAATCGAAAAACAATATCTAAACCACAAAATCATTGTGCCTTTTCACTCCCTACTCTCTACTACGGGTTTATATAGATCGAGTTGGTTCGGTTTTATCAAAACTAAATCAAAACAACTATGTCGGTTTGAATTGGTTTTGTTTTATTGGATGTTTTAGGTTTTCGAATTTTTTTGTTATATGAATATTATTTCTTTGATAAGTGAATATATGTTTCAATATGGAAAAAATTAACAAATATATAATTTATTAAAATATTTTAATGGGAGAACTTGATAAGTGAATATATGTTTCAATATGGAAAAAATTAACAAACATATGATTTATTAAAATATTTTAATGGGAGAATTCTTTTAGTAACATTTGATAGTTATTTTCTTAGTCGTCTAACAATAATTTTTCGTTAATTTACGCTTTCAAGGTTAATACATAATAGAATTTTAATTTTTTTTTATATTTTTTAAAGAAAAATTACTGTAAAGTCTTAAAAATATAAAAAAAAAAATTTATATTTATATGTCGGTTTAGTTCGAATTTCTCTATTCAATACCAAACAAGTCAAACCAAGCCTAGTTGGATTTTTTAATCGATTTGATTTGATTTTTCGATTTGATGCAATTTTCCGATTCGGTTTGAACACCCCTACTCTCTGCCTTAGACCACTCAATAGATCTAATAACGAAATTGCAGAAAACTCTTTGGAGATATTTTTTTGGCTAGTTGTTGAGAGTGGAATTGATCAAAAAAGCAGAAACTACATTTTTACAACATTAACAGGAGAAAGAAAGACCATATTTAGGCCATTGACTACTTGGACTTTGACTTCTTTTATAGGGAATATAGTAATTCACTAAAAAAAATCAGCGTATTAGGTCGAAACCTTTGCAAAAGAGTTTAATTTGAGGTATATGTAGATAAAAAAGTTTAATTAAATGGTGCAACCTCTAAGGTTTCTAGTATTAAATTCATTATTTTTTTCAAAATTATTGATTTAAATCGAATGCTTATTTAAAAAATTGTGAAGTCACAGATAAAACCATTATTATATTCTGTGTTAAAAAAAATTCGGGTTCGAATGAACAAGTGCTTCGGCACGAGATCATGCCCTCATTTCAAGTTATATTAAGAAAAACCAAATGTTCAAACATAACTCACAAAGTATAAAGAAGAAGAATAAAAGAGAGGAGGAAGAAGGAGGACGAGGAGGAGGAGAAAAATCTGACGATGTACTAAAATACTAAAAAAAAATTATCGTGGTCAAGATATAAACGGAGGTCCTATCCATCCAGCGCAAATTCAGTGGAAATGACACCAAGTAGCTAATTTTAAGCATGTTGTTTAAAATATATTCACAGTTTATAATATATTAGCCAATTTCAAACTTCAGGTCGCGGCGTCTTAGAGTTTAAACCTCAAAGTTCAAACTTCAGGACATCGTGTCCTAAAATTCGAAAATAGTGTTCAAAAGTTCGAATCTTATGTTCCTAAACTTTAAATTAGTAGCTCAGAAATTCAGGACACACTACTGGAAAATGACAGATTTCCGACCGCCAAACGGTCAGAATTCGATCGGAAATCACGAATTTTCGACTTTCCGACCAAAATTGGTCGGTAGGAAAAAAGTTGGTCCGAAAATAATTTTTGACCGATCCGTCGGTGATTTCCGACCGAAGTGATCGCAAATATCAAAAGGTCAGACGACCAAATATTTCACGTTTCCGACCAAAGTGGTCGGATTTTACCGACTGAACCAGTCATAATAATACAAATAAAATAATTATTTATTTAAAATAAAATAATACGAATATATCATTTCTGACCGAATCGATCGGTAATTAAAAATTAAAAATTAAATTTTATTTAATTTTCCACAAAATCCGTCGAAACTTACTGAATATTAATTTTTTTTTAAGTTTCCAACCAAATCGGTCGGAAACTAATAATTAAAAGTTAAATTTTATTTAGTTTCCGACAGAATCCGTCGAAAATAATTGAATGTTTTTTTTAAAAAAAATTTCCGACCGAATCGGTCGGAAATCCAGGAATTTATGGTTAAATTCGGTCGGAAATCCAGGAATTTATGGTTAAATCTGGGAAGCTGTCCGACCGTTTTCGTTGGAATTCAGTCGGAATTTTGTATAAAATCGGGCAGAATTCTGCCCAATTTCGAGCTACACCACCCGTCAAGCTATTACAATACAATAATACCAACCAACAATACATTAACACGATACATTAATACAATAATACCAACCAACAATACATTAACACAACCAACAGTACATTAACACAATCTAAACCAACAATGCCAAGCTTTAACACAACTTAAACCAACAATACCAACCATTTAACCTAACAATTTTGGGCATAAAAACATCCAAATAGTAGCCCAACATTCAAGTTTAAAAACAATACATAAAGTTGTCTTTCACAATCAAGTTTACCAATCAAGCAAAACTTCACTACTAAACTACTACACATCAGATTCAGTTTGTTCATCCTCATCATCAGATAAATCATGCCCATGTTTTCTCATGAATTTCTGCATCTTAACAAATGTTTCGTATTGGGAGTCCAATTGTTGCTTCAAATTACGAATTCCGTTTCTCGTATCTTCCATCTATTCTTGATTTTGAGAAGAAGAAGAATTGGATAAGAGAGGGTTTGGATGACCTGTAGGTCGACGTACTCCTAGTCCGTAGACTCTGCCTTTGTTTACTCCACCCGCTACCTCCGTCCACAATAAAGCCATATCATCAGGTGTTGGTTGAGTTGAAGGAGGCTGAGTTTGTTGTCATTCTTTCAATAAATTCATCCATCAACCCCGCACGATTAGGATGATTCCTATTATGCATCCATCTACGATGCACACATTACATCAACACAAATAGAAATCTATAAATGAGATATTTAAAATAATTTGATTTATTAAACTTGTTACAAGTTATACTCTTTCAAAGGTTCCTTTTAGAAATATACATATCATTGTGTCGAAGCACTTTAATTAATATATTTTATTTTTTAAATTAATATTTTTTAACACTCAAAATCTCACATTAATCCATATTCTAAATAACACAAGCCTTTAAATATACTAATTAAATTTGAATAGCTTCTTAAATGTTCATATAGTCCAAATTAATTAATAATTTCTCAAACAAAAGAAATAGTCGTAACCAACAGTTATTTAAACTATTTCAACATATAAAAATTAAAGAATTCAAATACATATAGTTATAGCAAGATACATTTGTGCACAAATTGCATTGAGGATATAGTACTTCATGACCATGAATTCTATATGCTTTAAGCAATTTAAATCCTTCAAGGACTTTTAAGTCATATAAGGCATATAATAGACTTTAGATGCATATCAAGTTTTCATGTCATGCTAGACATATAAGATATCGAAAAACTGATTGCACATACCATTGACTTTATTCAAGTGTTTAAACTACATGTTCAAAACTACATGTCTTTCATATGAAACCAATTCTATTTGAATTGTGTCTCTTCTATTTGGCCGATATTTTTGTGTCTGTAAGCGACAGACTTAAGATCCTCATCTATACTTAGCGCTATCATAGATGTCGTCGATAAATATTTTATATCAGTTTTAATATATTTTCATAATGACATAACATAGAGATCTCTTCATATATTCAGGTACCTGAATCTCTCATGAGATTTTATGAAGTGTTATGTCATGTGATCTTCTAGATCACTTGCCTCCTTTATTATGATCATCTTGATCATTTTCTCGTCTTCTTTATCAAGAAGTTTATTTGAAACTGATTGTCTATACGCTTTAAGCTTACCATAGACTTTGTCCTTCTAGGACTTAATAGGAGCATTTGCAATGAGAATATAGTTACTTTCTTTGGGTCAGCAAATGCGTCTGGCATGCTTTGCAATATATTGCACATGAATTATCCTTTATGAACTTCAAGTTCATATTATCTTATTCGAGGATCTAGATGTACAAATGATAATTCATTCCACGTACTTTTTCTCAACTGTTGTATCTTGTCTCCCCCTCATGTTAGAAAAACTAACTTGCTTCCTCAATTTTGAAAACCCATCTTTGTGCGTTATGGTGTTAATCAAAATATACACTGCACATCAATAATAATAAGATGGAATTATTTGGTTCCTGACCCTGAACCATTTGTGAGGGAAGAATGTAATATACTTTCGTATATAACGTATATCAAACTGATATATATAACTTTGTTCTCATAAGCAATTATTTAGCTATTAAGTAGAGGCACTTAATAAATTATTTTGCTAAACGAACTGTGATGTAAACCAACTTATCAAGATGAACTTCTTGAATAAAAAATCTGGAAATTATGCTCGAAATTAAATTATTGAGCAAGTTACCTCGCAAAACACCATGTTGCGGGTTAATAATAATTGCACATGTAACCATCTCATAGATGCATCTTATGTGGTATACATGGCAGGTGAATGGGCCCATATTCACCTTTGATGTTTCCAGCATTCATGGGATTCAATCCCAATTTTAATTGGTCTATTAATTAATGAGAACAAGCAATGTAAGAGAATTCGTAAAGAACTTTTTAGTTCTTTAATATTTACCCATGTGAATTCTCTTTTATTTTTGCACATCATACTTGAATTAACATGGCTAAACCAATTATGCCAACTGGAAAAAATATCAATATTGATAAACTTCAGGTTTACACCATGATGTGTGCAATTATGAATAAACTCCAAGTTTATTATGATATGGGTTTTTATATTAATAAATATCCACTTCATTGTGGTATTCTTTTGTTTATGTAGTACAAATTGGAGAATAAAGCAGGTAGCTTTTCACATACATATTACCCCGCTACAAGTTGTAGTAATAGAAGATATTAAATCTTTCCTTTATTTATAGTCTCAATATAATCAACCGCTTTCGCGTATACTTTGGAAACTGAATAAGTTTCTTCGAGACTTACTACAACACAATACCTTATTGGTAGTCAATTGTGTTTCTCCAAAATAGTAATAATTGGCTCTTCCAGAGCTCTCAATTAATTTGGTACTACCACATATTTATCAATATCCATATGGTGAATATCTCATTTAAAGAGAAAGTTATACCATTATGGTTATGGTCA